GATATAGCCTATTCAGGTAACTTTTAGCCATTTCTTTCCTATAAAAGAAAGGCTCTGCTTAATAACCTAATGCTGTTGGATAGCAACCTGTAGCATTTTTTCAGGTGAGACAGCAATCACTTTAATCTCTGAGATAATTATTCTTCATAAAAGCTAAATATCTTTAAAGATAAAAAGGAAAGAACAACTAATTAAAGATCATTACAGCCAAATATATTTTTACACTAAAATTTTGTTGTTTTTTAAATAATAAATTTTATTGAAGTATTTCAAATTATCAGCAATGCAAATAAAATAAAATTCAGTTACTTGAAAATAAGCCTAGTCTCATCATTGCGGTCCAATAAATTACCTAATGAGTAGAGGCCACAGCTGTGATATTACCAAACCAGGTGGCCAGATGAGATAAAGGTTCTTCTTAAAGCACACACCATTTTAGGATCACTGAAGAGCACTGGAACTCTTGTTTTCCATTTCCTGTCTCTTCTCTCCTAATGGTCTTTATTAAACAAGAGCAATAATATGCTACAGCCAACAAATCCTTTCTTACACCCTCAACAAAAATCTTCCTACACAAATAATTGTACAGAGGGGTATTTCAAAAGCTACACATTGACCTTATGAATAAATAAAAGGCTAACTACAGTATTACTAAAATATTCAAATACTTCTGTGTAAATACCAGTATTCCACAATCTAGAAAGATTGCTCATAATAATGAGCATTTCTTTTAAATATGTAGCTTTCATATATCAGAAGACATTTTAAACTCATGTCGGCCTCTAGCAGTTACTGGCTTTTACTAGTGTTGCTTAGTGTTTTTATAGAAAACACTAACTTACCCCAGAGAAAGCAGCTCTTTTCAGATGACTAAATGAAAAACTGAACTAAAAACTTGCCCTCTGGAATTCAACACTTTGAATGCACAGCAAGCTGCACCTTCCCTACCCTGCTGCCATCCCTTGGGTTAGAGCACCCTGGCATGCATCCGCGAGCATGGCATGCATTCGTGGCGCGCACGCGCGCCCGCGCACACAGACACACACACAGACAAACACACAGACACACACAGACACACACACACACACAGACACACACACACACACAGACACACACACACACACACACACACACACACACCTCTACCTCTGCAGGTGCAGGCAACTTGCTAGAGAGGTGATTTAAGGGCAAGGGGATGGAATGGTACACCAGCACCACCTAGTGGGCAGTGGAGAGAGGCTCAGAGCCCCTTTGCTGCTGCTTCATGGATGAGCAATTTGTTCTACCTCCATCAGGTCACTCCTTTTCAATCTCCAGCTCAGCAGAGAGGTTCCAAGATCAGGACTCACAGACAATAGGGCAAGTGCTGCACGGATGCTCCACAGGCTCTCCGAAATACTGTGAGGCTTTATAATCACATGTACCCTGTGATGCCAGCATGGAAATCAATACCGTGGTTTAGAGCAGTGAGCTCAGAACTCTGCATGAATTTACACCGCAGCTTTCTCAGTGGAAACCATAAAAAGGCACAAACCATTTGGTATTGTCTGATCAAAGCGCCCACCATAATATGTTAAGCCAGAAGCACAAATAATAAATAACCATTTTCTACCTTTTATTTATTTCATAACTACTCACTTAGTAACTACTATGTGCATAAGTGTGTGTGTGCACACAAACCTCAAAAAATTTTAATATTTATGAAACCTGATTCTTTTTCAAGGCTATTTAATTTCTATAAAAACAGGTGTTAAAATACTAAATCAGATTATATAACCAATACAGTAGTAAATATACACATATGTCATCAAATTCTATTAATTTATTGACAAATAAGAAATTTGAGTAATTGGGGGGAAAAAGATCTCTAAGATGTTTTGAAAGCAATTAAGAATTTCTGTTCTCTCAGTCTCCAGCTTACTTCTTTCAATCAAGATAGTCTCTGTCTGAAAAGGAAAATTTTCTCTGTATGTTTATGTCTTCTCTTTAGACCGGTGGGTTCTCAGATGGGGATGTGCCTCCCAGGGGATATGTGGCACTGTCTGTTCAAGGATGCTGCCATCTGCCACGCACATGACAGTCACCACAGCAAAGAGGTATCCTTTCTGAAAGGTCAGCAGAGCCAACGCTGAGAAAGCCCAATCTGGACTGTAAGATACTAGCAGACAAGAGCAACGTCTTATTAAAAAACATACACTAAGTATTGGGTAAGGTAAGGTAACTGTTTGGTGAAATAAGTTGACACTGATATCTAACTCATTCTTAATATCCCCGTCCATGTGAATAGGAAGGTGGGTGGGCAATCTGGCATCCAGAAAAGGGTTGGCTACAGCCCCAGGAAAAGACTGAAACTGACACCAACAGACACACATGCGTTCACTCGATAGTCATAGTGAAATAATTTGCCTGTACGGACAGTGGCCTGCGTGAAATACCACACAAAACTACTGCTCTAACTTCTGATTGGTGATGCACTCACTAAATGAATATTCAAAAGAATGCTAATGTCGGAAACGGAAAGCACATCCTTGCCTGTAATAGGGCAGAGCATCCTATACTCTGGGAAGGTGCACTCTACCCACACACATGATCATTTATAAATTTTGTTATTCTAGCCGAAACCGGTTTGGCTCAATGGATAGAGCGTCGGCTTGGGGACTGAAGAGTCCCGGGTTCGATTCCGGTCAAGGGCATGTACCTTGGTTACAGGCACATCCCCAGTAGGGGGTGTGCAATAGGCAGCTGATCGATGACTCTCTCTCATTGATATTTCTAACTATCTCTCTCCCTTCCTCTCTGTACAAAATCAATAAAATAAAATAAAAATAAAAAATAAATAAATCAAAAAAATTTTCTTATTCTAGGACAGCCTGTAGAGTCCAAGCACAATGGAACACTGGATAATACCAGGGCATAGACAGCACTGAGGGTCACAGGTGATGGTGCTGTGATGAGGTTTCTTGGTGAAAAATTAGCCAGACTTCTGACCATTGCCCCCTTGCAAACAATTACAGCACCTTTGAGTCACACACACACACACACACACACACACACACTAAAGTTTCTCCTTGAAATTTCCCATTTAATGTAACCACTGTGAGCATATCTATAAATATATTAAGACATTATCTATGGATATAAAATTATATTTAACAACTGGGGAAATCTGATATATTGTCTGCTATTTTCACCCAAATTATTTCATGAGTATCTATATGTCAATAATCAGCTCAATAACAGACATTAGGTGATCTTAAATCTTAAATTCACTCAAGACATATTGTTGTAAAGGTTCCAATTGTTTAAGGAATGAAAGCATAAGGGGTATGTGATATACACCACCAAAATTAGGCACGGCATTGTGAAGAAAACAGTAAGCTTGCCACCTTCCCATGCAATCATCCAATTCCAGCCTTCTAGACACAGCTTCCTAACAGCACTGAAATGGTTGTGCTGTCCCTCCTGTGTTTCCTTACAACCCACAAGGGACTGGTATGGATAACAATACACCATTAAGAAAGCACTCATGGACAACGGCAGCAAAATGAAGGTCCAGCTTCAAGGGCCGTGACCACTCATTCTGAGGGGCATTAACCTGGGAAACAGAAGTCACTTTCAATGAAGTGTTTAAATTTTTGAAAATACATACAGTATTACTTGTAAATCATAAAAAAGTAAGATATTTGTTAGTATTTGTCACATTAAATATTAAAAATTCTTTGACATATGAATTCAACATTTTTTTAAATAACCTGACTGAAAGCAGATCTTTTTCTTTCTTATTGGTGATTTTTTTTTAGTTGGTGATCAAGGTATAAGATTTCAAGCTTTTCTATGGAAGTCCAGGAGCCAAAGAATTGAGTTTTAAAGTTCCTTTTAAATGACCCATTCGTTTCCATCTTATTTACAGCCCTGAGCATCCTAGTCCCACCACTCACATCTGCCCAGTTGTCATCAGTTCTACAAAGGGCCTCTGTTTTCCAGCAATGTGAGATCCTAGAAAGAGCTCTAATGAAAAGTAAGAGTTCACTTTTCCTTCTGGGGGAGGAGGCACAACAGATTAGATTCCAAGTACCTAAGACAGAGACAGTACACCCCGTTCCCTGTGGGGAAAGAATGGTAATGAACAAAACAAGTAATAGGCAGAATGAGTGCTACAGCTACAGTGCCTGAGACATTCTCAAGTAGAAGTACCTCAAGTGAAAAATAACAAGAACTGAAGACATTCTATCTAGGGAATTAAGTCTGTGTGTAAGATACGCTCCAGTATTTCAAGGTCATGCAATTTAACTTTAGGGAAAATTCTCATTAAATAAGAATTTTAAGGGCCTAACCTAATGACCTTTTGACTACCAATTGAATAGAACTCCAAGGTTACTTCAATGTTAAGGGCATTAAAGGCCTATCTTTTTAATAAAACATACTCTGAACAAAGAGAACCACTGGAAAAAATTTATGAAAGTTTCTAAACAGGTCAGAAGAAAATCAGCCTGAGAGTTTGGTACATTAAATGACTCTTATCTTGTTAATAGGTGAGGAAATCCCTGTGTAATAGTAATAATTTGTATTTCTTTACCAGTCTTTTGGTGAAGAGATGATGAAACCAGGTTAGATGCATTTTGCCAGGTCAAGACCAACCAAAGAGAAGCAAGAGAGAGAAACAGAAACTCTAAACAACTTAAACGGAAATAGATAGTTCAGGTCTGTTATGAACAAACCTCACCAGATCGCCTACCCTATAGTCTGAAAATTCACAATAACCCAGGAAATGTATTTCTTTGCTTTATTTCAAACAGAATTTGAGGAAGATTATAAGCATACTTACAATATAACAGGAAAAGTGTATGTATATGTAAGTAAGGTTAGCCTAAAGGGGAAAAAGTGTAGAACAATAAAATGAAGCTAAGAGAGAAGTCACCTTGGAAATGTGTGTATTGATAAAAATATTCAGAACTTGAAATTAATACTAATTTATGAGGTAAAAAAGCTTTGCCACTCACCAATTTTAACCTCTGTAAAGGTATTCTGCCTACATCTATCTGTGTCCTTTCTGGGACATTAGTGAATCGAACTTCTGGGACTGCGACGGCACACATGACATGGGCCCACCTACAGAAAAGGAGACATTAAACATAAACACAAGTTCCCTAAGCTTATATTCCTCGTACTTGAACCAGGCAATGCAATTCTCACAGAAGGGAAACACACAGATAAGAAAGAAAGCCAAGAGCCTGAATCCATCACAAACAGACTACTCTTTGAATTTTAAATCTATTAGACAATTCCTGGATGGATTCAGGAGCATACCTGCCCAACACTATGACATGAAAAATGAGATAAAGACCAAAGGCTCAATCCTATCAATATATGTATGGCTTTCTATGCTTGACCTGCAAAATACTGAAATGTAGGTTTGCTGTTTCATTTGATATTGCAATACAGATGTTTAATATACTTTAGCTCATTAACATGTGCCAATAGATTAATTCACATAATCTTTTTACATAATACAAAATACAAAAATTTACATAATACAAAAGCCATAAAGCAAACCAGAACAAACCACAAGTTTTCTAAAAGAACTAATACTGATTAAGTCTTTAGCTAAATTGTCTTTCATTGCAACCCCACTATAATCAAAGGAACCCATTAAAGACGAGAAGAAATGAAATTAGCTTGCTCCCTTGTTTCCTACTTCAAATCTAGCATCTCCTTTCAAATTCTGAATTGCTCCAGAAAATGATAACATCCCCACTAACACCATCAAGTTTTTCATCAATATTATGCCCCACACAAAAAAAGACTCTTGAGGTTTAAAAAGATCTTGAAAGAATTATCAATTCAACAACCTATTTTTAAATCAAACAATATTTATTTCACTCAAACAACACAAGATTCCGTGCTGCCTTTAAAAACCACAGGAGGAGAAGACAAGTGTCAACCCCATCAGGGCACACTCTTCCATGTCTAGATAAACACTATAGTTCCATGGCAAACACTTCTGTCCTAGCCCAAGAATAGGAAATGAAGTATTTATCATCTCTGTCTCTGCAGGAGCCACCTAAGTCATCTCACAGTCTGCATGATTTGTATAACATCCTAGAACTAGTCATTACTTTTTAGCAAAGTGCCAATCACATTAACTGTGAAAGATAAAGATCCCAAATTAAGCGAAAATACAGTTTCATAGACTAAACTTTATTCTTCCTTATAAGCAATCAGAAACACGTGCACATGTACATAATTATGCAAACTCCATCATGACATTACCCCCAGGGTCCCAAATCCAGTGCCAGTGGGACCTCGCATGACATAAACAGAGTACAGTTTAAATCATGGGAACTTGGGAAACACATGCCCATTTAGACCAGGTTCTCATCCCAATTTGTTATGGCCATATAAAGAGGCACAATCATTTTTTCAAGTAAAGATGAAAACTTGTATTTTATTATTAAAAAAATCTCTCAGCTTTTAAATTTTGTATCAAATGTAAAAAAATGTGTATCGGTAAACTAAAACATACTGAGGGGCTGAATCTGGCCCTCAAGTGCCAGCTTAAAACCTCTGCCTGAACAACGTCTATATGTTTCTATTTCTAAAGAATTATATAAATACTTTGCCCCGTTTTAAATAGTAAATTCAGGTCATCAAAGTAAAATTCACACAAAGATAATTTCAATAATTGCCATAAAATCCAGATTACCTTTCATTTATGTTCACATAAGACTCTTTATATTCTCCAACTGTGCACTCTTAGTGTTAAAATCAACGTTTCTCTCTGTATTTCTATTGTAGTATATATACTTTCTTGTTAGTTTATTGATGTTAAAAAGAAATGATTTTGCTTTAATGTTATGACCATGATTTATTTTATTTATGTGAAGATAACAATTTCACTGTTTTCTGGCACACTGTTTTTATATTGAACAAATAGGATTCATCACATTAAATGCTACAGTTCCAACGGCACCCAGAATGAAATGGGCTGCCTTTATCTAAAAGACACTGTTAGCACAAAGGGGTTATTCTTCATGGTGTCAGAGACAGAACAGGAACAAGAGTTAGAACACCTTTGTCAGCAGAGGTGAATGTGGTGTCAGTAAAGGTCTCTTGCACAGAGTCCCAACCTCACATCTGGACAGCACCAGCCTTGGAACGGAGTGTCCAATAATGGCAGGTAAAGCAAACTGCCACCCAGAGGCTCAACCATTCCAGAGAGGAGAAGGAGACAATGAAACTCAACACATGAATGTATTACTTACTTATTATCCTTAGTTTCCTTCAGAGCACCCCCTCTCAAATTGCAGAGACAGCACTCCTAGAGGAGAAAAAAGAAAACACCACACAGTTACCAGACCTGTATAATAAATGACTAGTTAACTAAATGTTCCCATAAATTCTCTTTGTTTTGTTTTAAAATGAAAACCATTAGGCATGTTATTAAGGCCTATCTCTGAGCAGTTTGAAAGAGAAAAGCAAAAGAAAGGTGGGCAGCTGAGGCTGTACCCCAAACTGTCCTCATACACATATCTAGAAGAAAACCACCATTGCGCTGGTATCATGTTCCGCTGCCACCTGTGGAGGAAAGCAGGGGCACAGAGAACTCGGTACCTGGAGAGGTACGAACTACAAATCTAGAAGAGGCCATGACTGGGTTCTCGTGATCTGGGAACCAGATGGCTAAAAACCAGAACTGGCACACTTCATTCCAATGTCAGGAGAAGCAGGGAGCACTTTGTAAAAGCTGTGGCTAGAGTAGTGAAAAGGGCCTATTACAGAAATTGCAGTGTTTAGGAAGCATGAAAGAGAGGCCTGTTAAAGGAAGCTGAGAATCAACTAGAGATCATAAAATTACCATTTTGGTCTTTCTGTGAGCAAATGGTATTGAAAAGATTGTTCTGATAAACCCAGGCTATCCCGCCCCATAAGACAGGGCCATAAAAATGTTTTCCTTGCCCACATAAGATTTTTGGCACTTTTATGTGTCTTAGATTGACATGGATGTTTTCACTCCAAGATGACTCCCTTTACTATAAACACAGACTACAGTCATCATTTCTCTTTATAATCTTAGGGGAAAATCTATGTATAAGTAGGGCCAGAAAGCAATGCAATGCCTTCCGTTGACCTAGAACTTGTTATTAAATACTTAAGTAACTCTTTTTATTTTCAACTTCAAGCTTGTCCTTCCAATTTACTGCATTAATAGAGTTTTTAAAAATAGTTACAGGCTTTGGGAGATGAGCAAACGATGCAGTATGCAGATGTTTTATTGAGGTGTACAACTTGAAACCTGTATGGTTATATTAACCAATGTTACCCCAATAAATTCAATTAAAAATAGTTACAGGCTATTTTCTTCTTTTTTTTCTCTTAAGCGGTATGCATAAAATTTCTTTATCTGTTCTCCAAGGTGACCTGTAAGTAATTTTAACAGATCTGCCTAGCTTTAAAAGGACTCTCTCTAACATATCAACTATTAATAATGGAGTGTCAGACTCCATGGCTTTTCTTTTTTCTGAGGAGAACAATAACAAACAACTGAGGAGAATAACTTATCTGTATAACTCTTAATAGGCAGCAAAAAAAGCAAACAACCAGAGACATTCAATGGTTTTATGTGTATGGAACATTTCTGCACATCCATTTGAAATTTCCTAGGTGATTATCAATGATTCTGAGTAGCAAAAACTGTTCTGTGTACATACATTTGAATCCATAATAAACTCCGCTCAAGGAGATAGCTCAATGGAGAATTTCTCTATCCACATCACAAAGCCTTTGAAAGAACTTGTTTTGATGCAGCACACAATGTAAGAAATATTTCAAAATCCAAGTATTAAAAATGAGAATTGCAATAATTCAAATTATTTAAAATATATAAATTATTCCATAATAATTTCATATACCATTACTAACTTTATTTATTTATTTTTTGCCATTAATTTAAGACACTTTCCACAGGTTGGGGGTGGGGGGGGGGGAGAGAATGAAAATGAAAACAAAATACAAGGTCAAAATAATATATAAAAAGATAGTTTCAAAGTGGGAATACAGCAAAGGAGAGCTGTGGACTGCGAGAAGCTCAGACACTCAGAGAATTAGATGTCTGATTAATGAAACTAGTAGTGAGAAGATGCCTAAAGGGACAAGTTAGCAGAGTTAAATACAGCAAAGCAGCAAGGATGCTGCTGTAAGCACCTGATTAGGATCATTAGCAGGTACACTTGCTGTAGAGCGCTACTATACCAGGAGGGAAAGTCCCCTAAAGTAGAATATGTGGACTTAAGATTTTCAGTGGAGTTGAGGAGACTCCCACCCACCACACTGTGAAACACCCTCTTGCTAGGATCACCAGTAATCCCCATGTCCCAAAACCTCACAGATCATTCCAAGTCCTTGGTTTGCCTAACATCGCAATCCACAGGTTGAGAACCGCTGCTGTAGAGTCTAAGATCATTGGAAAACACTGATATTTACATTACGATTCATTAACTGTAGCAAAATTACAGTTATAAAGTTGCGACGAAAATAATTTTATGGTTAGGGGTCACTACAACATAAGGAAATGTATTAAAGGGTCGCAGCATTAGAAAAGTTGAAAACCACTCTCTAAAGCAAGGAGAGGTCTTCCACGGCTCAAAAAGCTGCCAACTCAGCTGTAAAAAGCAGAACAGACACTGCTAAAGGCAAAGCCCTGCTACCACCCTCGAAACATCTGAAACCAGAGTAGACAAAAATCAAACTAAAGCTGCAACAAAGCACAGACACCGATCAAATACAAATCAGGATGACTTCGCTCCTCCTCTGGATATCTGACAGATGAAGCAGCAGGCCAAACTAGAAATAGTAATATTTATTTCATTTGCTATAGACAAAATGTCTAGCACACAATGAAGGGGCCACCCAGAAGGTGCCAGAAGGTCAGAGCATCATGTTCAAGGCTTTGCAAGAGGCTACAGCACCTAAGCCACAGAGGTCCTCCAGCAGTGACCTCTGCCAGCCCCAGTCCTGTGCCAGCCCCAGTCCACATAGCCAGCACACCCACCCTCAGGGGCGGCAGAGAAAGACAGAAAGAGACTGAGGTTTGTGGCTGTAAGGTGAAGGAGGGGGAGGGGAAGAGAGAGAGGGTGAGAGAGGAGAAGAGAGACATCAATGTGAGAGAGACACATAAATTGGTTGCCTCTCTCACAGGCCCTGAAAGGTCAATTGACAAAATAGTAGCAGTAGTTTTCTATAGAAAATGAGATTTGAGATTTGACAAAAGAAGCAAGAATATACAATGGAGTCAAGACAGTCTCTTCAATAAATGGTGTTGGGAAAATTGGAAAAATACATAAAAAAAAAAAAAAAAATGGAAGTAGATCACCGATTGACATCATACCATACACAAAAATAAACTCAAAATGGATACAGGACTTAAACGTAAGACAGGAAACAATAAAAAGCTTAGAAGAATCCATAGGCAGCAAAATCTCAGACATTGGTCATAGCAATATCTTTACCAATACAACTCCTACAGCAATGAAAACTAAGGAGAAAATAAACAAATGGGACTACATCAAAATAAAAAGCTTCTAACAGCAAAAGATACCATCAACAAAACAACAAGCTACCCACTGCAAGGGAAAACATACTTGCCAATGTTATCTCTCTGATAAGGGTTTAATCTCCAAAATTTACAAGGAACTCATACACCTTAACAAAAGGTAGATAACAATTCAATAAAAAATGGGAAAAGGCCCTAAATAGACACTTTTCAAAAGAGGACATACAGAAAGCCAAGAAACACATGAAAACATGCTCATAGTCACTAATCATCCAAGAGGTGCAAATCAAAACAATAATGAAGTACCACCTCACACTTGTCAGGATGGCTATCATTAAAAAATCAACAAATGACAAGTGCTGGAGAGGATGCGGAGAAAAAGGTATCCTCTTTCACTGCTGGTGGGAATGCAGGCTGGTGCAACCACTGTAGAATACTGTATGGCATTTCTCCAAAAAATTAAAAATGGAACTGTCATTTGACCCACTTCTAGGAATATATCCCAAAAAACAGAAACACCAATCAGAAAGGATATATGCATTCCTATGTTCATAGCAGCACAATTTACAATAACTAAGATATGGAAACAGCCTAAGTGTCCATCAACAGATAACTGGATAGAAAACTGATACATCTCCAGGGGTCCTCAAACTTTTTAAAGTGGGGGCCAGATCACGGTCCCTCAGAGAGCTGGAGGGCCGGACTATATGAACTACTAATTCCTACTGTAACACCTCGGCTGCGCTCACTGCCCAAAAAACCTGGCGGGCCGGATCAGACTCCTTTGCGGGCCGCATGTGGCCCGCGGGCCGTAGTTTGAAGACCCCTGATACACGATGGAATACTACTCTGCTGTAAAAAAGAAAAAATTCTTACCATTTGCAACAGCATGAATGGAACTGAAGAGCATTATGCTAAGCAAAATAAACCAGTCAGAGAAAGATAAATATCACATGATCTCACTAATTTGTGGACTATAAAGAACATCATAAACTGATTAACAAAGATAAAGAGACAAAGAAGCATCAAACAGACTGTCAAACTTCAGCGGGAAGGCAGGAGAGGGTTTGGGGGGGGGGGGGGGTGAGAGATCAACCAAAGGACTTGTATGCATGCATATAAGCATAACCAATAGACACAGACACTGGGGAGGGTGAGGCAGTTAGGGCATGTGCCTGGGGGTGGCCAAGAGGAGGTCAATGAGGGGGGGGGGGGGGGGGAGAAGACATATGTAGTACTATTTGTAATACTTTTAACAATAATAAAAATAATTAAAAAAAGAAAATGAGATTTGAGAATATGAGAGTGTTGGATATAGGAAACTCCTCTAACAATATATAGACATAAGAAGAAATTAAACCTTTTTTCTATTAAATAATTTAATTTAACTGTGGCGGTTTATCCTATTTTTCCTTTTTGCACTTAAATTTAAATTTTAAATAGGACACCTATGATTTTTTTCCAGAGTTTTTCAGTGTACTAAAACTTCTCTCTAATCTAACCTATAGAAATACCAAAGTTGCCGGTACCGGTTTGGCTCAGTGGTAGAGCGTTGGTCTACGGACTGAAAGGTCCCGGGTTCAATTCCGGTCAAGGGCATGTATTTTGGTTGGGGGCACATCCCCTGTAGGGGGTGTGCAAGAGGCAGCTGATAGATGATTCTCTTTCATCCATGTTTCTAACTCTCTATTCCTCTCTCTTCCTCTCTGTAAAAAATCAATAAAATAAATTTAAAAAAAGGAAATACCAAAATTGTGCAGCCTTGCAGA